GGGTCAGTCCTTCTTGGCCGCGGCCTTCCTCATGGCGGCCAGCACGTTGCTCAGCTCCTCCCGCTTCCTCTTGGCGCGGATGTGCGTGCCCACCTGTGGGGAGGCGCGGTCACCCAGGGCCCTGGCCCGCGGTCGGTCACCCACGGCCCGCCCTCCCCGCTCCCCGCTTACCCTCTTCTTGATGAACTTGAGCGCGCGCTTGTCCTTGGACACCTTGAGCAGCTCCATGGCGCGCCGCTCGTAGGGCGCGAAGCCGCACACCTCCCGGATCATGTCCCGCACGAACTTGGTGTGCTTGGTGAGGCGCTGCGGGGAGCCAACCCGAGCCTTGCCGAGGGCCGGCCCGCCGGCCCGGCCCGCCGGCCCGGCCCGCGCCTCCCCGCCCGGCCCGGCCCTCGCCTCCCCGCCCGCCCCGGCCCGGCCCGCGCCTCCCCGCCCGCCCCGGCCCGGCCCTCGCCTCCCCGCCCGCCCGCCCGCCCGCCCGCCCTGGCCCCGACCGTGGGGCACAAGCCCGGGCGCGCACTCACCCCGCGCCGCCGGCTGTGTCTCGGCTTGCTGACGTTCTTCGTCACCTTGTGGCCCTTGTTGAGGCCCACGGCCATGGGGTAGCGCAGGGCCATGGCTGCGGGCGAGACGGCGGCTGAGACGCGGCCCCGCGGCCGTGACGCCCTCCGCCGCCGCGCCCCGCGGGCGGGCCCGGGAGCCCCGGAGCCCCGGTGGCGGACCCGGGATCCCCGCTGGCGGGCCCCGGAGCCCGGATGGCGGCAGATGCCGCCCTCAGGACCTCCACTTACCTGCTGCTCTCCGATGGCGGCCGCGACAGGAAGGACGGCGCCGCGCGGAACCCTGGGATATCTGCCGCTCGCTCGCCGATGAGGCCAGAGAGGCAGGCGCGCCGCGGTCGCCCTCTGGTGGCCGGAGGCTGCGAGGCTCTTGTGAGCATGCGCAGTCCGCTGGACGAGCTCTCGCCGGGGCCGCAGCCATGGAGCTGGGTGGGCGCGCGTGGCTGTGCCCTTGAGTCCCACTATTGCTGGCTGTTGAAGCGAGCTAACTCCCTGACAGTAAAAATGCTTTTTAAAGTTTTTATTATTGGGCTAGAGAGACGTCACAGAGGTTTAAGAGCACTTTATTTACTTCCAAAGGACCTGGGTCCAATTCTAAATAACCACAATGGGGCTCTAAAACATCTGTAACTCCAGTTCCACGGCATCTTTTGGCGTCCGTGGGCAGGATGTACTCACGTGATGCACAGACATACCTGCAGACAGAACATATAAAAGACGACCAGTAAACCTAACTTTAAAAAACAAATAAGGCCGGGCGGCGGTGTCACACGCCTTTAATCCCAGCACTCGGGAGGCAGAGGCAGGCGGATCTCTGTGAGTTCGAGGCCCGCCCGGGCTACAGAGTGAGATCCAGGAAAGGCGCAAAGCTACATTGAGAAACCCTGTCTCAAAAACAAAACAAAACAAACAAACAAAAACACAGAGAAACCCTGTCTCGAAAAAAAGAAAAAAGAGATAAAAACATGATTGTCGTGTATAGGTGTTTTGTCCGCATGTGCACAACGTGGGTGCAGGTCCTCTGTTATACATTAGCCGGTGCTGAGCCAGCTCCCAGAACTGCTCTCATTTTTAAAAACGTTTGTTTAGGGGTTGGGAGAAGCCTGATCCTCCGCACTTTTGCCGAAGTCAGACGTCAGTTACCAGCCTCTGTTTGCCATCGTCCACACAGGCTCCGGAATCGAACTCAGGTCCAGCAGAATTTGTCAGACTAGATCCTCCGCACCGAGGTCTGGGGTTCATCGAAGGAGTTTAGCGTCCCCTGCTGGCCCTGGGCTGTAACAGCGGGGTAAGGAGGGATGCAAAGGGTCCAGAATCTCTCCTTCCTTGCTCCCTTTTCTCTTTCGCTGTACGGTCTCGCGGAGCCCAGGCTGTCTCAAACGCCTGACCGCCTAAGGACAGGTACGCACTGCACCCATTTCATGCGGGTCAAGTGCTCTGGCCGCCGAGAGGTACCCCCAGCCTCCTCTCTTGGCTCAAGCTCCCACACTCCAGGCTCTGCCAGCCTGAGGAATTTGTAAGACAGAGCCTGGCCCAGTCCTGCTTGTCCACAGTGGACCGCTGAGTGGCTCCTGGCAGGTGTCACAGGTACCGGTGACCACAGCTGGGAGTCGAGGTAGTGGGCAAGCTCTCGGGTGCAACGAGCTGAAGGAATTAACCTCCACCACCTGAAAGCCCTGCTGTGCACCAGGATGCACTAACTCTGAAGCTTGTAAAGGGCAATGCAGTCCTCAAGCCGGAGTGGGAGGAGCCAACACGGAGGGGCGGGGCCTGGTGTAGTATCTCCCCAAGGTGGAGCCAAGGTGGGTAGGTGTGGTCGTCAGCTGAGGTTGTCAGCTGGGTACTAGGAGGGTTGTACCCGGTACCCTAAGGTGGCTGAGCCCGGCATCAGGGCTCAGACGGGTCCAACGTAAGGAGGAGCGGGCCTAGAACTCAGGCGCAGGAGGGCGGGGGAAAACGAGCAACAGTCCGGGGGCGGGACCAAGGTGGGTAGGGGCGGAGCCTAGAACCCAAGAGCAGGAAGGCGGGGGAAAACTTACGCACAGTTAGGGGCGTGGCCAAACTGAGAGGGCGGGGCCTAGAATGCAGGAGGGAGGGGGAAATTTGAGCAGCAGCCCAGGGGCGGGGCCAATGTGGACGGGGGCGGGGCCTAGAGTAGGAGACGCAAGCTTCAGTTCTGCGGGAGGGCTGGAGAAGCCCAGGCTGCCACCCTCCGGTGCCCCCTTCATTCGCAGGTACACCCCTGCTGTTCCTGTCTTCTGTGGGTTTCTGAGCACACACTGCAAGGTACATTCCTGTGGACACTCAGCCAGGGAAGAAACGGGCAGAGGTGACTTGCCCAAGGTCACAAGGAAGTTGGAGGCCTCTGGGAGCCGCACTTCCCAGCTGCATTTAGGAAAAAGGGTCCTCCAGGGACCAGCCCTCCCTGCTCAGTCTGACCTGGCTCCATTCTCTGCTTGGAACGCTTTTTCCTAATATAATTCTTTCAAATCTTAGGTTCAAAGATGAACTTTCCAAGCACTATGGCAACCCACATGCTACCTTGAGATGTTCTGGACCCCTCCTCCCCCATTCCTTTCCCTCTTAGTCATGAGGACAGGTTTGCTTTAGTTCTGGGGCTGAAAGTGTCGGGATAGATTCTCTAAGTCTTGAGGGAACACTGGCACACACCTTTAATCCCAGCATTGAGGAGGCCCAGGCAGGTGGATCTCTGTGAGTTCGAGGCCAGCCTGGTCTACAGAATGAGTTCTAGGACAGCCAGATATACAGAAAAAGACCCCGTGTTAAAAAAGAAACACGAAAATAAATAAAATGAAAGTTGTGGGAGTCGTGGATGTGTGTGAATGGGAATGCTCCCCACACTCCCATGTTTGAATATTTGGACCCCAGTTGGTAGCACTGTGTGGGGAGGATTAGCAGGTGTGGCCCGATAGGGGTGACATTGGGGTGTGCTTGAGGTTGCAGGAGCGCACACTGTTCCCAGTACTCTTTTTCTCTCTGCCTCGTGCTTGAGAACAAGCCCTCAGCTGCTGCTCCAGCACCATGTCTGTCTGCCTTGCTGCCATATGCTCCTGCCATGACTCGCCGACTCGCCCTCTGAAACCCAATAAACTCTTCCTTCTATAAGCTGCCTTGCCCATGGAGCTTTGTCATGGCAACTGAAAAGTAACTAGGACAATGGATCTCCACAGAAAATGACACAAGTTTTTCTTACTTTGGAATTTCTACCTAAGTCCAGAAGACAAGGAGAGGAAGTTTCCCAAACCCAAAAGGCACAGGGAGATAGCACAAGAAGTACTGGGGTTGGGAAGTCCACAAATCTTCCTCATAGACTTACCTTCCCATTTCCAGTGTGAACGTATGAAACTCCCAGGTTCTGACCATAGCAAGCTAGCATGGTGGGTGGATGGACAGAAGGATGGATGGATGGATAGGTGCGTGGGTGGATGGGTGGGTGGACGGATGGATAGGTGCGTGGGTGGATGGGAGGGTGGACGGATGGATAGGTGCGTGGGTGGATGGGTCGGTGGGTGTATAGGTGGACGGGTGGGTGTGTGGAGAGATGGACAGTGGATGGGCCTGTGCCTGCAGCAGCACAGTGAATGCAGGAATGTAGCATTAAAACCCTCTAAGAACCCTCTGCCCCATGATCTCAAGAGTTCTGGAGTTCCAAGCTGGATAAAGAAAGGGTCGTGAGTCCCCTGCTGCGGCCTCCAGCAACCACTTCTCCGCTTAGGCCTGTTTCCCCCACCTTGCAGCGGAACAGGGATCTATATGATCATTACCCTTGTTACCCGCTTCTTTGCTCTCTGCCCCTGACTCCGGACTACCCACCGCCAACCCCGTATCGCGTGACCCCGAGCAGGGCGTGCGGGGACGGGATTCCCTGGCAACAACCTCAGCCAGGTTCCTACTAGCCTGCCCCGGCCTCTGCCACGCCCTCTAGGTGAGAGCCACACCCCAGACGTGAATGAAAGACTCGCCTTTCCGGAACAATCACGCCCTCGCGTTGCCGTGGTAACCGCCTCCTAGCTTTGCTGCATTGCAGGCAGGGATGCTTAATCCTTCGCGCAGGCGCGGGGATCCCATCAGCATCCTCTGAGGGCTCCTTCCATCGTCCCTCCAAACTACATTTCCCAGAAGCGTTCGCGGCCTAGCCCCCCCCCCCTCTCTCTCTCTCTCTCCCCTCTCTCTCTCCCTCTCTCTCTCTCTCCCTCTCTCTCTCTCTCTCTCTCTCTCTCTCTCTCTCTCTCTCTCTCTTTCTCTCTCTCTCTCTCTCTCTCTCTCTCTCTCTCTCTCTCTCTCTCTCTCTCTCTCTCTCTCTCTCTCTCTCTCTCTCTCTCTCTCTCTCTCTCTCTCTCTCTCTCTCTCTCTCTCTCTCTCTTTTTTTTTTCCCCTCCCGACTACATTTCCCAGAAAGAATTGCAGCAGCCACAGTCCTCGCTATACTGAGTCTAACCCTATTGCCGCTCCCGGAGTGCTTTGCAGCTGACGGCGACGACTACATTTCCCAGGAGCCTCAGCTGCACCGCCCACCGGAAGCGGCGGGCGAATTGCTTGCCCTTGCGCGGGGAGTGAGGCCGGAGACTGACCATGGTGGCTCGAGTGTGGTCCCTAATGAGGTGCGTGGAGACTCGGGTGGGCCCTGAGCCTTCGAGAAAGTTCCGTGCTGCTGGCGTCTGTGCCTTGCGGCTTGGTGTCCTGTGACTGCTCACTTCCGGTTGCGTCTGGCCCTCTTCTCATGGCCCATGTAGGGAACACTGGAAAGCCAAATGGATCGCCTCTCTCCTACCTGCCAGCCAGCCCTTGTCACCTACAGCTTCAATTTTCCCAAATTTGCAATGGGGATCCGTGGGAAATCTTGCCTTTCGCCCCTTTCCGGAGCTTGAGTGACATGAAGGAAGCCCCTCGGGGCTCCCGAGGGTTTTGTGTCCACTGTCTCCTGCTCTCGCAGAATTTCGAGTGACCCACTGTCTCTTACTTTAAGACTCGGTTTACCACACAAGGCAAAAGGAATGATCCTTGTACCCTGGGGCTCCCAGGATGTCACCTGGTGAACTGTTAGTCCCCGGAGACTGCCCCCACAGCTTCTGTCCCTTCCTGTCTCCCCGCAGGTTCCTCATCAAGGGAAGCGTGGCAGGGGGAGCAGTCTACCTTGTCTATGACCAGGAGCTGCTGGGGCCCAGTGACAAGAGCGAGGCTGCCCTACGGAAGGCCGAGGAGGTGGTGCCACCAGCAATGTACCAGTTCAGCCAGTATGTGTGCCAGCAGACGGGTCTGGAGATGCCACAGGTACCTGGCTAGGTGTGAGGATGAGGCTTGACAGGTCGATTCTGGGTGGTCTTGATGTCCCCACCACCTCTGCCTGGTGGAGTTTGTGTCGCTGGGTTTGGGTGACAAGGCTGCGACCTATCCCCACGCACCAGCCAGCCCTTGTGCTCCTCTTTCTTCCCAGCTCCCAGCCCCTCCACAGATTAACTTCCCGAACTTCCGTGACTCCTGGAACTCAGGTAGGCCCCTATGCCCCTGCTGGGGGACGCCTGGGCACTCCAGCCTCACTCCCAGCCCCGTTTGCCTTGCTGTTCCTTTCCATTCCTCCCCGTTTGCCTGTTTGTGTGCCTTTATGTCACCTATGGAGCTAAATAGAAAGGACTGGGCATGGTGGCCCATGCCTGTGACTCCAGCATTTGGGAGGCTGAAGGCAGGAAGATTTGGAGTTCCAGGCCGCCAGGGCTACACAATGAAAACCACAAAACAAAAAAACAAAAAGAAATCTGAAAAATGGTGTAGGGCAGGGGTGGCTCCACTCCCGCTCTGGGTAACACTCTTGGGCTTTCTCGGGGGTTGGCTGTGAAAGTTCTGGCAAGTTGGGGTCTCATCGGCACCTCTGCACTATCTCTGCAGGCATCATCTCCGTCATGGCAGCTTTGTCCGTGGCCCCCTCCAAGGCCCGAGAATACTCCAAGGAAGGCTGGGAGTACGTGAAAGAACACAGCAAGTAACGGATGCCACCTGCCCAGCGTTACTGGGGAGTGAGACCAGGATGCCGCACACTCGACCACAGTGGGGACCCCACTCTGAGGGCAGCTTCCAGCATTTGGTCCAATAAAGGACTTGGGAATGGTCCCTGACCTGTGTTCTGGTGGGAGGATGTAGAGCGGACTTGAGGAACTTGGATCGCCCTGCACTTTTGGGGGTCCTGGCTCCTGGCAGCCTTTGCTTGTTGGGGAAGTCCTGGCCTCAGGGGATCCCTGTGTTGCAGATGTAATGCTTAAGAGCCCTGAAAGTTTTTGTTTTTTTTTTTATTTTTTTTATTTTAAAAAACTGTGTCTTAGGGTTTCTATCGCTGTGATAAAGCACCATGACCGAAGCAGCTGGGCAGGGGAGAGTTGGCTTCAGCTTGTTCCTCTTAGGCCACACTCTGTCACTGAGGGGAGTCAGGGCAGGAACCTGGGGACAGGACCAAAACAAGAGGCCATGGAGGGTCGCTGTGTGTGGGCTTGCTCCCCATGGTTTGTTTAACCTTTCTAATAACACCCAGGACCGCCAGCCCAGGGTGGTGCTGTGTGTTGGACCCTTACACATCAGTCAGCATTCAAGAAAATGTCCCACAGGCCAATCTGATGGAGGCATTTTCTCAGTTTAGTGTCGCTCTTCCCAGGTGACTATTAAGTTGGCAGAAAAAGACTAGCAGTGTGTGCTTTCCCTGTGTGTGTGCGCGCTACAGGGCCCACACTATCCAAAAGGCGTCTGATTCCCTGGAGCTGGGTTTCCCGGCGGTCCCGAGTTGCCTGTCATGGGTGCCGGGATCATTCAATCATCCCTCCAGCCCTCAGAAAGGATCGAGAAGGTACTGGGTGGTGGTGGAGGGGGAGCCTGGACTTGGGGAGACCCTGAATAGGTTTTATTTGCTGCAAACCAGTTTTTGACAGTCCTATTGCCCAGACTGGTCATAGCCACTCAGGCCTCCAAACCTTGTCCCCTGAAGGTCACTTTTCCCAGGGACCCTGTCCCATGCTGCACCAGCTGTCTGAGGCCTGAAAGCCCTCCCCCATTAGTATCTCAGAAGGGTGTGATTGGCAGCCAGGCAGGCCCAGAAGGGGTGGGGCTAAGGTGGAAGGAGCATAGGCCACTTTGGGGCTCTGGGTCATCTCCAGGTACAGCTTCTGCCACATGGAGCTCTGCAGCTTATGTGCTCAGGCCCAACAGGACACCCAGCACATTCTCAGAACACCTGGCAAACCCAGTGGGCAGATGGGAGGGGGTGATGGCTGGCTGAACCCAACTGTCTTATCCTAGGTTCACTCCTGGGCTGCAGAGGGTACCTGGCATTGGGCTTATCATTGTGTCACGCTGCTGAAGTCCAGAAGTTGGCGACATGTGTCTTACACCCTAAGACTAGGGGCTGCCTCTGCCTATAGCCCAGGCTGGGTGTCTGTGACCTCCAGTGAGGCCTGTGCACCCCCTCCCCCCCCTCTGCCCCCCCCCCCCCCCAGCAGCCAGCTTTGTTCCTGCACAGGTCTATCCACAGGCAGGAAGGGCAGCCCTGCATGTCCCTCGTGCTAACCAGCATGGTGGGCACAAGCCTGAGCTCACAGCACGGGACCAGGTGGGCCGACTGCCTTCCCATCTGGAGGACTGAGGCAGCCAGCCAAGGCCACAGGTGCTGAGCCACACAGAACGGGACAGGCTAGCCATGACCACCACCTCTGGCTGCTAGTGGAGTACCACTTCTCTCTCCTGAGGAAAATGAGAGGCCAAGCTTGACGGTCTGAAGTAAAGGGCACATGAACAGAAACATCTTTATTACAAAAAACAGCAACAAAAACCAAAATGAAAACAAATTCACATTGTAACAAGCTACAATATGGCAGCAGATTAAAAAAAAAAAATCCTTTGTACAATGGTGGGAGAAGTCCTGATGGACACGGAGGTCACAGCTGGGGGCACAGGTGCTCAGTAGCGGCGGGTGAAGCGGGCATCACTGGGTCTGCTGCCCCGGCTCTGTCCTCCAAAGCCTCCCTGCATCCCTCCACGTGGAATCACATGGCCACGCGAGGCTCCACCCGGGGCGAAACTGCCACGCCTAAGAAGAAGCCCGGGACCATTGTCCTGAGGTCCTACCTTAGGTCAGCGGTCCCCAAGCCCAGGTCCCCAGTTCCCCACTACAGAGCAACCCTGCTCCCACTCAGCAGTGTAGCGCTTACCCCGACATGCCACCACGGTTCATCATGTGGCCAGGCCCCGAGTGTCCAGACATGCTCCTCTCACCGCCTGCAGGACGAGGCACAAGTCCAAGTGGGCAGCTTGGCAGGTGTAGAGCCAACAACAGCCCTACTTGGTCTCAGCCAGCCCCACCCCACCCTAGGCCCCAACCCCTCACCCCGTAGCCCCGGCTCCACCCAGTCCTCACCTTGCCACCTCTTGTGCTCACGCTCCATCATGCCTCCGTCAGCCGCACCCTGCCATGCCCGGTCATCTTCAAGTCTCCGGCTGTGCTCCCCCCAGTCACGCCTGCCCCTTGGAAAGAGACACCACTGACCTGCACTGCCACACCAGTGCAGCAGACAGAGTGGCTGGGGGCTCAGGTTCCACCAGGCCAGGCCTTGGGAGGGTAGGACACAAACCTGGGAGGAGGGGGCAGCCCTCGGCCTTCACTCATTCTCTTGTTGGAGCCATAGCCCCAGCCGTCTCTAGAGTCCCGGCCGTGGCGTTCAGGTCCTCCATGGCGCTCAGGGTAATGCTGGACCAAAGAAAAGGGTGAGGTTAGCATCATCCCTGATCCCCAGACACAAGGACACAAAGCTCAGGGACCAGAGTGTGTGGCCACTGTCACAGCGTCCTCCCTCACCAAGGGTTAGGTTTACAAGGCTCCTTTCCTTACAAGAGCCCCAGCCTATGCACGGCAGCCGTGCTTCACAAGTGTGAGACACCAACAACCGAGTGACTGCACAACGACACCCACACAAACTCTTGCGCAAGGCCTCACTCTGTGGCCCAGGCTATACCTCAGTCTCAGTAACCCCTCCCTTAACTCCCCAAACGGGGCTGAGTGTGAGCCGTTCTACCCAGCTCAAACACTGCCTTATCAAAGCTGAAAAGACCCGACACACCAGAGAAACCAAACGCAGGGAGCGTTGCCGACGTCCCAGTCTCCTGCCTGACCACAGACAGTCCTGGGACACTGTCCTCCTCTGCGGAGTGACAACTACAAGTACAAATGAACACTCACACAGGCCACTCCCGGTCACCAGTTCCCACAGAGTAGCTGTGTGGAAATGGTGACATCAGCCATCGGCTGAGGAATGAGTATCCAAGGGCTGCAGACGACCCCGGGGCCAACTCGGTGATGGGAAACCAAGAGGGGAGGATGGTAAGCGAGACCGCAGTGGGGGTGGCACCGTGCAGCTGAAGCCTGCCACGGTGGGAGGGCAGCGATGGTGGCTCGGGGTGTGGGGTTCCACAGCTGAAGCGGTGCCCCATGCTCACCTGTCCTTCTCTGTCTCCCATCATCGACCTTGAACCTTCTCGCCTAAAAAAGGTGATTTCAGTGAGACCAGATGGGGAGGGGTTAGTGTGCAGAGCCCTCCCTCACACACCGCCATGAGCCCACGCGAGGGCTCACCTGTCCACGGAGTGGTTGGGGTAGCGGCCCCGGTCTCTGTGGTCAAAGTCATGGAAGCGGTCCTGGCGGCCGAAATCGGAGTGGTAGCGGTCATCCAGTGCAGCCCGCTTGGCTTCTGGCCAGTAGCCATCATCGCGCCTGAGACGAGGCAAGGACATGAGGCAACTAGGGCCTGAACAAAGCCTGCAGGGCTCCAAGGCCCAACCATGCCCCTGGCAGGAGCTCTCCTTGTGGACGGTGTGACAGATCCTTGGACTAAACACCCCCACTTCTGCCTTGGTGCCCCCGTGGGTGCCGAGTGTCCCGGTCTTTGAAAGGCCTCACTCAGCACCCACTTCACGGGGCACCTGCCTGCCCCAAGCCTCATGGCGTCCCAGCAGCAGGCTCCGACTCAGGTCTGCGTGCGAGCCCGGCCCCACGCCCGCCCGCCTGTGCACCCGGGCGTGGCTGCTCACCGTCCATCCACATCGTAGGGCCTGCGCACTGCAGGCCTGCGCTCCTGCTCATAGCGCAGCTCCTGCTGCCGCCGCAGCTCCTCCCGCTCACGGTGGATGCGCTCCTGCTCCCGCCTTCTCTCCTGCTCCACGTGCATGCGCTCGCGCTCCAGCCTCTCCCGCTCCATGCGCTCGCGCTCTAGCCGATGGCGGTGGAAAGCCAGGCGCTCCCGGGCGATCTCTAGCCGCTCCCGCTCCTCCCGCTCCCACTGTGCCTGCAGCCGCTGCTCCCGCTCGCTGCGCTCCCGCTCCCTGTGTGAGGAGGGCAAGTGGAGGCAGAGACCTCAGTGTGAGGAGGCGCTGGGGGCATGCTGGGCCAAAGACAGCACCCAGGGAGTGGGTCCGCGGCTTTGCAGCCGCCACCTCCTGTCTTCCCCTCCTTCCACCCTTCCCCAAGCCCAGCCCAACGCCCAGAGGCCCTTCCCCATTGTGCCCGGAGCCTGCCTGCCCTGGCGCCCATTTTAAACACACACCCCTCCGGCAAAGGTCACTTCAGAAACTGCATTTTGACAGCCACACGGCAGCAGTGCTGTGCCTGGCTAGCCAAATGCCTGCTATCCCTTTCCTGATCCTCGTCGGGCAAGTGAGATGCCCTCTGAACATCCCCACCGTCCCTGCCCTGCCGGCCACTTTCCGTGGTCTTTGCGCAGGGTGAAACACTGCAGGCCGCCAATCTCAGCACGGGGCCCTCAAAGTGCCCACCCACCCAGCCGGCCAGCCAGTCCCTTGCACACATCCTCGGCTGTCCCTTCCCAGCACCGCTCACCTCCGCGACTCTGAGTCTCTGGACTTCCGGGACTCTTTAACCTTGTCAAAGGACACGACAGACCGCTTTTCCCGGCTGGCCGACTTTCGGTCCTGGCTTTTGGAGGCCTGGTTCAGTAAACAGAAGAGAGTCAGTGCAGGATGGACAGAGGCTCCTGGCACTGAGACAGTCACCGATGGAGCTGGTGCTCACAGGAGAGCTCAACAAAAACACAACAGCTCAAACGGAGCTGACCACATCC